CTGCTGCCCACCAGAACCTATTATTAAAGAGTGTGTGATAAGACTGAGCCTCCATAAAACCCACCCCAGCATCACACCTCAGCTGAGAGTCCACCTACAGCCGGTCAGACATGGTAAGTTTCTACATGTCATGTTAAAGGTTTTATTTTGGATGCTTTTAAGAGTATGTTCTTGAGTACAAGTACATTATTTACTGATCTTATGTTGACTTCTTGATAAGTTTTTGTGACAGTTTCTGTTGAAACTTATCAGGCGAGTAAAAAGGCCTCCAAAAAGGGACAGAGAGGAGCTCAGAAGTCCTGCTCCAATGTGTTCTCCATGTTTGAGCAGTCACAGATACAGGAGTTCAAGGAGGTACGGACTTTCATTTATAAACCTTAGGAAAAGCATTTAGGATTTTTCGATTTATGCAACAAAAAGGGAAATTTTAAAATTTTTATTTGAGAATCAATGTGTCTGCAATACATTTGATGCTGAACAACCAAAACCAAACAGCATAAACTTTCTTTTAACATTTTGCTTCTTTTCAAATTTCAAGCAAAAAAAGTAAATTAACAACACATTTTTAATAAGAACTTATTTCCCCATACTCCAACAAAAATGAGACATTAAACATCTGTAAAGAGGCGATACATTAACCTGTACTCTGAACTTGCCTCAGTCTGTTTATAAACAGATTCTTTTTCAATAACAACATATCAACACTGTAAATTTTAAACAAATTAATGACAAGCAAATGCTTTTTTTTTAAATAAAGATAAAAGGTTTTTGTTTCATCCTGCAGGCGTTTGGCTGCATCGATCAGGACAGAGATGGTGTCATCAAAAAGCAGGACCTGAAGGAGACCTACGCTCAGCTAGGTATTTTATTTATCATCAAACCTTAAATCTTTATACTTTTCTCCTTTTCCCCTCCTGTTGCCCTTTTAATACTAAACTACACAAAACAGAAATTTTAGCAGAACGTGTATATCCGAACACTTTTAAATGCACCATCACCTTAAACGAGCCTCATCTTAAAAAGTCCACTTTTCTAAGAACAGAACACCCCCCCCCACACACACACAATCCTGGCTCCACCCATGTTTAGGCTACTTCCTCTCCCAGGTCCTCATCAAACTCCCCCTCTTCCTCGGCGGTGGCGTCCTGGTACTGCTGATACTCTGACACCAGGTCGTTCATGTTGCTCTCAGCCTCGGTGAACTCCATCTCTTCCATGCCTTCACCAGTGTACCTGTCACAGGAACAGAGCTGTCAGAACGGACCAGCACCAGAACCCAGATCTGCTGTGTTTTACTCACCAGTGGAGGAAGGCTTTGCGACGGAACATGGCGGTGAACTGCTCCGAGATGCGTCTGAACAGCTCCTGAATGGCCGTGCTGTTGCCGATGAACGTGGCGGCCATCTTGAGACCGCGTGGAGCGATGTCACAGACGGCCGTCTTGACGTTGTTGGGGATCCACTCCACGAAGTAGCTGCTGTTCTTGTTCTGCACGTTCAGCATCTGCTCGTCCACCTCCTTCATGGACATGCGTCCTCTGAAGATGGCGGCGGCCGTGAGGTAGCGCCCGTGGCGTGGGTCGCACGCCGCCATCATGTTCTTGGCGTCAAACATCTGCATGGTGAGCTCAGGAACTGTCAGAGCCCTGAGGGTGCAGGAAAACAAAACAAAGTCATTTTTAGCTTGAACAAAAACCAAACTGTGGTTTCACGGTTAGAATAACTGGGTTTGTGTTTCAGTACCGGTACTGCTGACTGCCCCGGCTGGTCAGGGGGGCGAAGCCTGGCATGAAGAAGTGCAGCCTGGGGAAGGGCACCATGTTGACAGCCAGTTTCCTCAGATCTGCGTTCAGCTGGCCAGGGAAGCGCAGGCAGGTGGTCACCCCGCTCATGGTGGCTGAGACCAGGTGGTTGAGGTCACCGTAGGTGGGTGTGGTGAGTTTCAGAGTACGGAAGCAGATGTCATACAGGGCTTCGTTATCGATGCAGAAGGTYTCATCTGTGTTCTCCACCAGCTGGTGAACAGAGAGCGTGGCATTGTAGGGCTCCACCACCGTGTCCGACACCTGGAACAGGAACCAAAGGAAGAAAATGGAACGGGTTAGCAGAAGAGGGACAAACATTTCATCTGAACATGTCTGAATGAATTATATGAACCTTAGGTGAGGGCACAACACTGAAAGTGCTCATGATGCGATCCGGGTACTCCTCTCGGATCTTGCTGATGAGGAGCGTACCCATGCCAGAACCTGTGCCTCCTCCCAGAGARTGCGTGAGCTGGAAGCCCTGGAGGCAGTCGCAGCTCTCGGCCTCTTTTCTCACCACATCCAGAACAGAGTCCACCAGCTCAGCTCCCTCAGTGTAGTGGCCTCTAGCCCAGTTATTACCGGCTCCACTCTGGCCTGTGACACAGAAAAGTTCAGATCTTGTAGTGTACATGTACTTACATGTGTAAAACTACTACTTTATAAACTAAAATGCTCACCAAAGATAAAGCTGTCAGGTCTGAACAGCTGACCAAAAGGACCAGACCTCACAGAGTCCATAGTGCCAGGCTCCAAGTCCACCAGAATTGCACGAGGAACATACTTGCCTCCTGGAATAGAAACAGAAAAAACACAAAGGATTGAATAATCTGCCTTTGAAAACAATGACCCCCCCCCAAAAGTATCCATGTCGTTCTACATGTATATAATTGTGTTTACATAAGAGTCTGTAAAATACATGTTTTTGTTTCACTGTGAAGCTAACCCTTCTACATTTTTTAGTTTCAATAACTGGGTATTTACATAGGCAGCAAGAAAACATAAAACTAAATTAATTAGTTCCCCCATCCTTAACCTGTCTAAATGATGAGCTTAGCTATAGTGGAACATAACAAAAACATATGCTTAATTTTGTCTTAACCATTAAAAATCTTTTTTGTGCATTTTAATGGTTACAAGTAGTTAGCTGGATGTATTTTAGAAACGTAWCATTATAAGTTATAGCAGATTAGGACATCTTAATCAGGTAGTTACAAAAGCTTGGCTAAACCAAGTTAAACCTGAAGCCTCGTTGTAATACACGTCGATCCGCTCCAGGTGCAGGTCGCTGTCCCCACGGTAAGACCCGGTGGCATCGATACCGTGTTCATCACTGATCACCTCCCAGAACTAAAAAGGATCAGAAAAAATACAGTTACAGCACAATGACTCAAAAAATAAAGTTAAAACCAGCCGTTGGTTTTAACCGTTGGTCCAATGGTGATAGTTGCTCTTTTAGCTACACGCTAACGCTTAATTAACACTAAATAAACTTTTATGACTTCACTGTTGCTGCATTAGTCAGCTATAGCATTGTTTTCTTTTTCCTAAGAGATGTSTACAATAGCCAACTGACTCACTGTTTTTGATTCGCGACGTTAAATCTAATGGTTTGACCGCAAAGTAAATAACTGCCAGTTAGTTAGCATTTTTGCTAAACAAGCTAATGCCGCTACAACGCTAATAAAATAGCCGGCGTGTTCGACCGGTTAATCTTATTGTCCTGGCCACGATAGCCAGCTCATATATGTATTATTTTCTAGTAAAAAATAATAATAAAATAACCGTTGCTAAATCCAACTAGCTTCGCCTAGCAAACCACCGACAACCGTTGGCTTTAGGCTAACTTATGCCGCCTTCACCGTATTAAGAGTTCATTTTTACAGTAAAGTTTTTCTAACCTTTGCTCCGATTTGGTTGCCGCATTGTCCAGCTTGTAGATGTACAATCTCTCTCATTTTCTCTCTTTCCAAATGTTAAAATCGGCCAGATGATAGAAAAAAAGCGTCCGCTCACATCGACAGTCCAATCCACAATGCAAATTTGAACAGAATTGGAGGGTCTACACCCTAACGGGCGGTTGAAGACAGATTTGATTGGACCAAAAAGCTGTCAATCAAAGCAGGACGAGCATCTGATTGGTTCTCAATTTATAGTGTCCGAATTTAATTGGACAGTTAAATAACCGGTTGTTTCTCTGTTTGTAGCATTGATTTATCAGATCTCTCGACTTTAAATGCATTTTATTTCGCACACCTTTTAGCAAACGTAATCTATATTTAACTGAACTGTTCACTGACTACAAATTTTTCAACCTTGTGTTGACAGTGAAATGTGTGATACATCTCATATCCAGCAGGTGGCAGGCTTAACATAATACTACATGCTACATAAGCATAGAGTTGATCATCACACAAAAAGGTTAACATGTTAAGTCTAATAAAAAAAAAAACATGTAGTTTTTCTTTGCTTCAATCACCTGTAAGACAATGAAAACAAAAGTATGGACCACCAACTCGTCTTCATATCTGATTGCATGACAGCCAATGTTTTTGAACTTATTTGTTTTTGTTAAACTAAAAGTTGCATGTTCATCAGAATTTATGCAGTTAAACTAAGTGACACCTTCCAAACAGAGGGGGGGAAACAACACAAAAACCAGAACGTTCAAATTCCAAACAGGAAGAAATAAACATTTGAGTCTAACAAATCAGAAAATCTTTGAGCCCTGACTAAGGCTGAATAATAGACTTTTTTTTAAACTGAAATGATTATTGCTGCTCAGCTTTACATGCCTCAAATGGATTATGGTGGRTATTTAGCAATTAGCACAGTTGACACATAGTGTACAATACTGAACATACATAAATCCAGAGAATATTAAGCCCTAATAATTAACCCAAAATAGCAACACCTGTACAGAGAAAGAGGTGGCCCAACAGAACTGTACTGGAGGACAGAGCAGTCATAAATACTAAAACAGAAAAAAACAGAGTAAATACAAAATCACAGATCTTGTTAAATACAAAATAACCCCTAAACATAAAACATAGTTCATTAAAGTTTAGACAGGAAAAAAACTGTATGAAAAACTGAGTTAATGTTCTGGATGGAATTGTTTATATGTGTTAAATATATGGGTCAAAATGACCAACAAGGCCTCAGTTTTAAAACTGAGGCTTCAGGGTTAATTTGAGGGTTAATAAGGTAAAAACAGATTTTTTTTTTTTTTTTTTTTTTTTTTTTGGTCACGTAAATGTTTTCCCTTCAGGGAAACTCAATGTCCAGGACGAGGAGCTGGAAGCGATGCTGAATGAAGGGAAAGGTCCCATCAACTTCACTGTGTTTCTGACACTTTTTGGTGAAAAACTCAACGGTGAGAGATCTTCCATTTGATGGAACTAGAATAACTCTCAGAGGGTTCTGAAGGATTTTTTTTTCTTGTCCTCCAGGTACCGATCCTGAAGACACCATACTTGCTGCTTTCAAACCTTTTGACCCCAAAGGGACAGGTTTTGTGAATAAGGATGAGTAAGTATTAGAGTTTGTTTTTCACATTAACACCATCTGTTGTCTTTTTGCGTTATATTTGTCTTCCTTTATTCCAGGTTTAAGCGATTACTGATGAACCAAGCTGACAAATTCACAGCAGAAGAGGTTGGTTTGTTTTCATTTTTACACAGAAAGAAACTTCAGCAGTCACATTTTCACGTCATGATCTTGTAGGTGGATCAGGCTTTCACTCTTGCACCGATCGACCCACTGGGCAACATCGACTACAAGCAGCTCTGCTACATCATCACACACGGAGATGAGAAGGAAGAGTCCTGAAATTCAGCTAAACGCATTCAAGACTGTTTCAAATCTGCAGCTTTTATATGGCTATATAAATAAATAGTGACATTTCTGATGCACACAAAAAAATTGCAAAGATTTCTGCTGAATGTGAGAACATTGTTAGTGTGAATAAAGTGTTGGACTCATGAAAGGTGCAGGATTACAGTTTCTTCTTTTAATATAAGATTTGCAGAGGTACACTATATTGCCAAAAGTATTCGCTCACCTGGCTTGACTCACATACGTGACATCCCATTCCTAATCCATAGGGTTCAATGTCGTTGGTACGCTCTTTACAGATAGATACGGTAGATACTTTTCTGGGAAGGCTGAGCAAAAACCAGTGTTGTATAAAGTATCACAACGTGAGACTTGAGTAAAAGTACAAGTAGCTTAYCAAAAAATTACTTTGATAATCTGTAATGACATTTGTTAGGAGGTGACTTCCCTCCAAAATAATGCAGAAAGACCTGTTGTATTAAAATAATCAATTGATGTTAAATTTAAGATGCACTAGTCCAGCTGTTTCACTTTATATACATATCAAGGCTGCCTAAACCTTTTCTCCTAAATGAAAATCTATCTGAGGGCTGCGGCCAAACGCAATAATATAATTCATGAAATACAAATACTTCTTAAGTAGTCCTTTTAATGATTATGTTCTGCTGGAGTATGACATGATTTGTTTGTGTACAAACTAATACGGTATCAGAGTTTAATACATTTATACTTTACATTCAACAACAATTAATTCAATTCAATTAAAAAATTTATTCATTTCATTAAAATACTATATACAAT